TTCGCGGGAGGTATAGAAAAAACAAACTGAAATATATGAGCTTTTTTTTTACGCGCGGCAATTCTTTAAGTTTTCTCCTCAATTGAAAAGAACTAAGCGAGTAATATTGACGCCCACATTTTTATGAAGTGAGCAGCATCGTAAACTTAATACACATATGATGTATACATTAGTTTCTTTTAATATTTATTTATTTATTTAGTAAAATTACTAAATTTAGTTACTTTATTGTATATGTTATAAATTTTTATTATTTTGCAGAAGGAAAAATTTTATGGATTTTTTTATGAAAATAATTTTATTTCGTTGTTCCTTAAAATTTGAAATAAATTATTATTGAATTCGGGGGTTATTCGTATATAACGTTTTAAAAAAATCTTGTTTCGAGGTATTTAACATATTTAATTCTATTTATTTTATTATACTATATGAATGTATGTATGGGTATACCCCGTATACGAGTTAAAATTGCAGATATTGGACGTCATTTTGTGAAATTTTGTGCAATACATGCATAGACATCTATCTCAGTAGATTATAAAAATAAATTTTCATACAATTTTATTCGGATTTGGATTTTATAGTATTTTTTGGCAGAATCAAAAATTTTGAGTAGTCCTTCATTTTTAAAGAACCTGTAATTTGTTTAAGAGACATAATTTAATTTACGCTCATCTATAAAATCACTCTCGATATTGGTCTCGGAATTCTACCGAAAATCACAATTGAAAATGATTTAAATGATGCCCGAAAGTAAGAATACTATAATTTTGTTGTTAAAATTATTTTATGATCTTGAGTATTATTCTTTGAAATAGCAGCCAATCAATTAAAATCCAATTAATTTAAATTTTTTATCATGTCCTTTCCTCTTCCTTTTATAATTATAACACAATTGCATTATTTATTTGTATTTTTTTTTTATGAAATAATACAAAATGGTGATCTCGTTATGAATGAGCTAAAATGTGAAACTAAAATAAATAAATTAAATAATTGAATGAATGCAAAATTGTCATTCGTAATTAAAAAAAAAAAAAAAATAAATATAATTTATTAAAATATTTGACGGAGAATTTTTTATAAAATGATGCAAAAACTTTATAATTGTATTAAAAATTTAATTATCTTAATATTTAAAGATTTGGCGTCCAATTGCAATAAGTTCTCTCCTTTTTTTTTAATGAAAGTTTTTGAATTCTTTTGCTGGCAAATTTTACTTGACAAATTCTCGTTTTTTTTGCATTAGCAAATATTGATTTTCATGTTCTGTTTAAGGTTTTTTTTTATTTGTTTGCATATTTTTAATTTACTTTTTATTTAATAAATTAATAAAATTAATTATTATTGTTTATTCAAAATGCATTACCCAAGTAATTAATTGTAAGAAAAAAAATAAGAAATTTTTCCCTCCTGACTTTATAATTGTGAGATACGTTGGAAAAGGAGATTTTATATTCTGATTTTAATAAGCGTGTAACTCTATATTTTTTAGATTATGCATATTTAAGTTCGTAAGCATAGACTTCATGAGCGAAGTTTTACTAAGCAATTGCCATAAATAGCATTATATACGAGTAATACCACTATCATACCATTATCATACATTTTGTATGATTTGATTTGTGTGAAGAAAGTTGGACGTTTAAATGCCAAAAGATGGAATGCCTTTTAATTCCCAAAAAAGGAAACCTATTAAAAAGAGACCTCAGGGAAAAATTCGCAAATTTCAATAGAATTTTTTGTTAGCATCCTGAAAGTAGGCAATTTTTTAATAAAAAAATTATAAAAGTGTATTGCGTTTACTTTGCAAATTAAAATAATAAAAGTGCAATATAAAATGTAAATTTCTAATAATTTCTTATCATTACCATTTTAGCACATTAATCATTCTGAATTTCTTAAGTTTTTAAAGGATCTTGCAGACTAATTATGTATGCAGTTTTGTTTATTTAAAGAATCTTTTTAAAGTATTGCAATCTTAAATTTTTATTTTCAAATATTTTAAACTTATTGTAAATGAAATCAATCATAATTTAATAAGTAAGTATAGAAAATTATAAGGTTCCGGATATATTTGAATCTACTAGACTTATAAGTATTGGATTATAAAGTATGTATATGAGTATATGTATAACTAAAATTTTCATAAAAAATACAACAATTCAAATATGGTATATTTGGTACTGTTCAGTTCAAGTAGAATTGTTCTTTTTTTTTCTTAATAAACTAGGAAATGAAATTATGACCATTTAAAATATATTGTTATTGGTTAAATTCAAAAATTTCAGTTTTAATACAAGTAGGTCCCAATAGGTATACATTATAAGTATGCAATTTAATATTTTTTTTACTTCCTATTCCCCGAACATTACATCATTTTGGAAAATTTTAAGACGATTAAACAACTTGATAACTGACTAATAGCATAATTCACCTTAAAACTGTTATATAATAAGAAAAAAAAATGTTGTTTTCTTGTTTTTTTTATTATTTTTATTTTAATGCCATTTTTGAGCACAATAAAATTGCAAAATGTTCTGTGGGTGTATTTGCAATAATTGTCAATTAGCACATATGAGAATTTAGAATATGCTCGTATATACAGAATTTTTAAATCAAACTATTTATATAGAATTTTTAATAAAAAAAAAATATTGTTTAAATGACCGAATGATTGAGAAGCAAAAATTATAAAAATTAAAGAATTTCTGACATAATTTTTGTTTTTTTTTAATTATTTTTTGGAATAATTTTTTTTACAAACTATAAATTTTCGAATACACTTTTTAACGAACACTCACACAATTACATAAAGTCTCTTCCAATTTGATATTTACGTGTAAGCTAAAAAAAATTTATTTAATTTCCATAAATGAAAATGAAATTTCTAAAATTTCTGTTTAATCAAATTTGGTATTATTAAAAAAAATTTTTAACTAAAACTGAAATTGATGATGACTTCATAAATTGTTTAGTTTAAAAAAAAAGAAAAACGGGCTTATTTAAAACATTGAACTTTTATAAAAATATTCAAAATTTTTTTATTAAATATAAAATGGTAAATATTTTTTTTATTATATATAGTTATCGCATTAAAATTCGACCATTTTTAGTTATAGTGCTCAAAAATCTCATTTATATTAAAATATCTGGTAAATTTGTTTGTCATTATTGCAGCAATGTGTTTACACTTTGATCTTCTATTTAAAATATGAAGTGTAAATTGTTCTCTAACCTATCCAACCTTTTAAATGTTACTATTTAAAAAATATCTAAAATAATTTTTCCTATAATACTAATAGAAGCTGCCAGTTCGATCATATTTTAATAAAATGTTAACATTCAATAATTTTACTCGATTAGTTCATATTTCTTTTTATATAAATATTCAGAGAAAAATTTGCACCCACACATTATCCAAATTGTAATACCAAAACGATAATATCAATTTGGAAAATTGCCAAAAATTTAATAGTTTTATGGTTTTACATAAAAAACCAAATACATTTTATTATTACAGTCTATTACAATTAATTTGTAATTATATTCGATGATTATTTCACTTTCATAATGCATTGAAAAAGCTAAATGATTGCTAAATATTAATAATTATAAATGCATGTTATTTAATGTAAGAGTTAATTACACTCTTTAAATATACATAATTATTTTTATTGCAATATGTGTGTACACAATATATATGTAGAACTATATTGATATTATTTCTTTTAATAACACAATATGTAGACCTATCTGAACTAATATTAACATTTTATAAGATAAAATGGAGACATATAATTGCAATAGGCTCAATATTTTAACATATTATTTGTTCAATATAACAAAACATTGAACTTTGAAATTATAATAATGTTAATATCTAATATCCCTCGCTAAAAATTCTATTTGATACTTCACCGGGAAATACTGTTTAAAATAAAAAACTGCATTCAATAATATTTTTTGTCTAAGAACTTTTACATTCATAATATTGCAGTTTTCAGTTTGCATTACCACATCAGTAATCATTCAATACAACTGGCAAGAAAGTAAATACCTCTTAAATCAATTCAGCCCCATATCAGAATATTACAATATTTGAGTAATTTCCATTCAAATCTATTTGGATGTAGAGAAAAATTCAATTCAATTCGGTAATACTGTTGGGAGGAAGTCAATCAAAGTGAAAAATTACTTCTACAAAAATTTTGATATTACTTTTCCGGAAATTTCATTAGTGATTCCAAAAATTTTTGTTATGCTTTATGGGAAAGAAAATTAATACATATATTCTAAACCTAGTAATGCGACTGTTCAATAAATTCGGTATTATTTAGAGTATTGTAAGTTTTTTCGAAAGCAAATAAGTTTTAAAAATTTATTTAATCTGAGGTTATTAAATTTGAGTTTCAAGAAATTTCACTATATTTAATTGCTAGTTAATGATTACTGCAGATTATGGTCCGATGTCAGAATTTCAATTACAAATTAATCAATATTTTTATTAGAAAATCTAATTGGAGCTATTTTTTTCTTAAAATGAAACGATATAGTTTTATAGCATAGGATATTGACATGTGCTCCTTAACACACTTAAATATTTCGATGTATGTTTGTATGTATGTAAGATGGGTTTTTACCATTTTCAAGAAAAACAAGTATTTTATTGTTTTTGCTTTTAGTTTTAGTGGCAAACCCTATTCATAAATAGCTAGATTTTAAGAAATTCATTTTTGTATTAAAATATAGGCAAAGTACTGCTGTATTTAAACAATAAAGTGCTTATAAACAATCTATCTCAAATATTAATCATAGAGTTTTGAAAATGAAAATAAATAAATTTAAATTAAAAATATTTTTTTTATAAAAAATTCACATATGAGTTTTTTTGAAAATTTTTTCATATTAAAGTGTATGTTTGTATGTGTATACAAAATTCCGTTCTTATTTATACAAAAAATTTATTTAAAAAAAAAAATAAAATAAATAAAAAGCACCTTTAATGTACTCACTTCGCTGCACTTCTGATGCTGAGGCCAATAAATCAATGTTGTCATCATCGATATCCATTTTTTATTTTATTTTTTATTTTTCTACTAGTTTCGTTTTTGTGGTGTTATTTTTGTTTTGTTGTTTTCGTTTTAAATTTTAAAATAATTTTTTTTTATTTTTTAATTTAATAATTAATTTTTTTTTCTCAAATATTGTAATTTAATTTTAAAAACAATTTTTTTTTTTCTTATTTACAATTTTAATTAAAAATTTATACAAAAAAAAAACACAATTTTTTATACAAATATTTTTTTATTCTTATTTTCTTGTTTTGTTACTCTTGTTTCATATTTAATAGGCTATAAATAAATCTGTAAGAAGAAGAAAAGAGAAAAAACAAAAATCAATCTTTTAAGTTTTCACACTTTAAATTAAAAATTTTTAATTTTAAAATTTTAAAAAATAAATTGCAATACGTTTTTTCTTAATTATTTTTTATTTAAAAAGTAAATTTAATTTAGTTTTTAACACGTACAATGTTTTTATATCAAAAAAAATTCAGATCACAAGAAACAAAAACAGCAAAAGTTTTCATAACTAATGGAAAAAAAAATTTTTCAGAAATTCATCAGAAACAAGTCTTGTCAGAGCGAAGAAGCAAAAAAAACTATAATGAAAAATCTTTCTTGATTGGAATTCGCGATCGAAATGATCATAGCGCAACGAGTACTAAAAAAGCTTCAGATCAGAGCAAAATATTTCTGCCCGTTTGTTTTTTTTTTCTTCTTTTTCTCTTTTCATTATTTGTATTTTGCCTCACTCATTTACAAAAAAAAAAAAATTTTGTTGACAACAGGAAAAACGATAAAAACCAACTTTATAAAAATATCAAAATGAAATAATAATAATACATACATACACACACAATAATAACAACAAAAAAGAAATTTACTAAAACTTTATTGTCAAGGTAGAATCTTAACAAAATTAAAAAAAAAAAAACACAAATAGAAAAACAAAAAAGAAAAAGGTGATTGTTTATCTTTTATATGATAAATAGATTAAAATTCAATGAGACTGAGAATAGACAATAGAAAAAAGAAGAGAGAAAAAGACAGAAAGAGAAGAAGTACAAAACACAAATAACATGGTAAATATCAAAAAAAAAGAGAAAGAGAATATGTACTTAGTTTAGAATATTGTTTGAAATAAAATAATAAATGAGTTCAGCAAATCAGCAGTGTTGTCTTCGTCTGAAAAATGGAGAAAACAAAATACATCAGTCGATTAAGTACCAAGTCGATCTTGCTTAGAATGCTTAAACCGGTGATATTTATCTTTTCAAGAAATTCTTATCTTATCGTAATTAATTATTCGCATCTCTCCTTTACCCGTTTTATAAACTTATTTTGCTTTAAATAATCGCAACATGTAAAATTGGTTGTCCTTGCTACATAATATGTTTTACATTTTCATAGTAGTTCTGACAGTTTTATTTGACGTCTTTTATTTTGATTTTCTATACTAGTTTCTGAGAACTTTTTTTTCTCAGTTAGTAGTTCTACATAACGATAAAGCAAAATAATGGTTGATGTCAGGTTTTCCATTTTCAAGTAATTATAAAACATGAAATTTTTACTTAAATTAGACAAATTAACATTTTTCGACTTCTAGGAGTCCCCTCCCACCGTTTCTCAGAAATCCCCCCCCCCAATCCCACCCGCAAACAATTCAAAACAGATATTTAAAGAATTTATTTCTCTATTTACTAAAAACAAATTGAATAATAATCGATTTTGACCATTTATTCGACAGTTTTATGAATCGAATTTGATTTAAACATTTCAAAAATTTTTAGAGTAAAATTTCCCTACTACACTTAATTAGTGTTTTATTTTTTTTTATTGCAATACCATCCATACAATTATTATATAATCACAGTGTACATTACAGTTCCTAACGCGAACAAAAATTTCTATTATATGAGATGATTTTAAGGTACTGAAAATGAAAAATAAAATAAAATTATAAAAGCTTTTAAATATATTTGTATATTTTTCTATCGTCATTCAATTATTCATTTATTTAGCAGTAACTGTGTGTGTATATATCTATAATGATAAAACAAAATAGAATGAAACAAATTACAAAAGATTGCCATTATTTCATAATTTAAAAAATATGGTAGAGTTTTTTAAAATACGTTCACACATCTTGTCTAATAGTGTGTTACAAAAGATGCAAATCGGAGACTAGAGAGGATAGGGAAAGATTATTTCTGATAGCATGGGAAAAACGAATTGTATTTTTAATTTACCATCATGTAGTTTACATACAATTTTATGTAAAAATACGATTTTTACATAAAATTTTTAACTTAAATCTTTCTTAATCTCACAGTTTGAGTACATTTAGTAACCTTAATTTTATAAATTAGTTCAAGCTTTATACACACATAATAATAAAAAAGATAACATACAAATAAAACGAAATATACTCGTAGATTGCGTTATGTAGAATTATAGGTACATATAAATAAATTTGTAATTGTTGTCAAATCTCTGTGACAAGACAACAATAATTTTGTCAGCAAATTATAAATTATGACGTCAGTATGTGAAAGAAATGGAAAACAGAATAAAAGATAAAAAAGAGTGAAAATTGCACGGTGTACACAAACGTAAACATACGCCAAGTGAATTCATAACAAAATATACAATATTCGTACACATACGTACATACATACATATAGGTACTAATATACGTTTTTATATTATTTATAAATTTTAATCTAGTGTGACATTTTTTTATACTCTCAGAAGATCAAGAGAATTATTTTAATTTTTATAACAAGCCACCCACACATTATTTACCACATACAAACAGATATATTTCATATGGATATATGTATATAATAAAATATACATACGTATACATAAGAACTATAAATATATCGCAAAAAGAAAATGAACTAAAATGCAAAAAAAAAGACAAAAATTTAAGAAACTAAAGAAAAAAAGTATTGACATTTAGAATGAAAGAATTAAAGACTAAAGAGAGAGAAAGAGAGAGAGAAAGAAAGGAAAATTAATTAAAATTGTTCATGAATTGTGTTGAAAATGTGAACAATTAAAAAAAAAAAAGGTTTTTCAAAAAGATTAATAATATAAAAGGTGAATATTTTAAATAGGTAAGGTAAAAGGGTTGGTTCGGAGTAATTCTTATTTTAATTTAATTATTACACTACATGAGATTATGTTTTGACATACATACATTCATTTTATATGTATTTGAATACACTTTAGTCATAATTTCACATGTTATTAGTACATTTATTTAAGAGAATTCAAAAAATTATATTACGCACATTCGCTTTAAGTTCACTAAAAGTACAACAGCTATATTGAGTTCCTAATTCATAAAAGTCAGGACCTGCACCTGCCTGCATGTCTCCATACTCAGTATTAGGATTTTGACATTTTTAATCGGCCAAATTTAGTACAGTGTAGATTTTGTAAAAATATGCCATGTATAGTTTGCATTTGGAAATGCATTGAAGAAAAAAAAAATTTCAACGAAATTGAAGAAGATTTGACATGATAAATTGTTGGAAAAAGGAGAAACAAACGAGTCGCAATCTGGTGTAATTTCTCTAAAATCTGCCGAATGGCGATCCTATAAGTTCGTGGCTAGCTAAATTTAGGACTACATGAATTTTTTATACGGCAATAGTAATAGTGGAGAATAGGAGACAATTGCAGACAACATATTTTCAAACACAGACGAAACTTAATGTGTTTGTTTGACATGTTTTTAAAATTTGGAATTATTGCATTATACTTTGCTTAATTTAGTATAATTAGCTCCATCAACTCGGGATATTTGGTCATACTTACGAAATATCATAAAAAATCGCAATTAATGTTTATAGCTTTAACACATGAAGCATAGTAGTAACCTCTTGAATAGTAAGTTCAGCGAACAAACCGTAATTTACTTATCTATTATGAACGTTTATAGCAGCTGATAAAAACTAAATTACAAATATTAAGAATAGCGCAATAGCACATAAATTAAAATTTGAAATGTATGAACAAACCTTTTTTTAAAACAATTTTTTCTCTTTCAACATTTGTTTTATGTATACACATGTATGCGAGTGTTTTTTATCAAAAATTATTATCAACTCTTGTACTTGTTGTACAAATTATGGAACAAAATTAATATAAAAGTCAAATTGACTCTATCGTCTATCTATACCTAAAATAATGTTAAATCATTTTCTATACTGTGTTCAACATTATTTTCAATGTTATGTACATACATACATATAATCATAAGTAAATACTATTTTATAACATGTTACATTCATAAATTTTATGATATTTTGCATTTACCAATAAGAAATGACTAAGATAGCATTTTACTAGCATTTGAGGAAACATTTTTTTTCCAACAAAAATTCGATATAATATTATTGTTGAAATTGTGAATATTTTTTATGTTATTTCTATCTTATTTTTATGTTTCTATGTGTAGCCTATGTTATGTATAGTAACTTGATTTTTAAGGTATTATAAATTTAAAAATTTCTTCTAAAAAGTAAAATCTTTCTATATCTACAAAAAATTTTTTAGCAAGAAAATACTTTTGCAAATGTGACTAAGAGGGTAGAGGGTAATTTTGTTGGAACCGGCAGCCGCTCGAGATTCCCACAGAAGTTATTTGTTGTTTTAAGAATTTTATAAAGGAATTTTTTAAAAAGATATAAAAAAGTTATTTGAGACACTTGAGAAAATTTTCTGTACACATATGGAAGCGGCGTCAGTTGTTGCAGAATACACTGATCCGTTTGAATTGAACTGATCCAGTTATATTAAATTTATTATATAATGAAATATAAAATGTTGTTTTTAATTCCACTTTCCAATGAAAATTCAATTCCAGCGTAATTACCACCGAAATAATGAAAATTTTAGCTTTGCATATTTACAATAAGTATAAAGCCTATACTTTTTTTTAAGTCTGAAGTTGACATCTAGAAGTTGATTCAATGAAATTTTATTTAATTTAAAAAAATTTAGAATTTTAGAGAGGCTACTCTCACTTATTCTATTACACTTACGTAGAATATTAAAAAATTTCAATAGTAGAACGGTAAACTTTATGTAAACTTTTAGTGGAACGGTTAAATCGTGAAACTAATGTCACTTATATAGACTAAAATCACTGTTCTCTTATCGATTTACTTCTCATACACGATCAATTCTATGCTTTCAATAATTTTTCATTACATAAATTTATGCTATAATTTTATTGAAAAAAAAATTTGAAAATATAAAAATTTCAATTCTAATAGTATCTTATGGAA